TTATTTGGATCCTCAGTGAATAGTTACTCCTTCATCACAGATGAGTCAACTGAGTCTCAGGGCGTTTCAGCCAGGAACTCAAAGCCACAAAGCAAGGCCGGGGCCTCGAGCCCGCTCTGTCTGACCCCTGGCCCGAGTTCCTTAGGGTTTGCCTCTGCTGCTTTGTAGTGACAATGACAGGGTCTCTAGAGTGCACACCCACCCACCCCACCCCCATCAAGCCTCCTAGGCCATTTCTAGAAACCAGGAGAGCTGCTCCGAAGGAAAATCTCCATTTGACTTCAAGCCACTGAATCTGTTTTGTGATGGGCTTTGTTGTTTAATACATGCAGACGCATAAAACAGCTAGATACGACCCATAGCACGCGTTTTATGAATGCTCAGTTACTCTCATCCTATGAGGCACCAGCCTGGACTCTGTTTAAGCCCGAACTTCAGAGCCCAGCCGGGGTCTGTTCGCCTCTCCTCCCATCCTCTTGAAAGCCTCCTCCAGTTCTCATGTGGTGTGTTCTGCATTCCCATGACCTGAACCACACCCACTGCGGCGCTTCCAGAGGGCAGGGATGACATCTGACCTCGCTGATGATCTCTTGGCCCCTGGCACGTCCTTGCCCCAATTATAGGTTCTGTGAACCTGACCTGTTCGAGGGTATAAAAAGATTCCCTGGGTAGTGCTAAAGGTTTGCACTTGGCTGTTAACTGAAGGATTGGCAGTTTGAGTCCACCTAGAGGTGCATCAGAATCTACTTCTGGAAAATCAGCCACTGAAAACCCTATGGAGTACCGTTCCACTCTGTAACACATGGGGTCACCGTGAGTCAGAATTGACTCAGTGGTAACAGGTTTGATTTTCTTTTTCGGGGGGTGGGGGGAGGAGTGTGATGGGGACTTTGCTCAGCACCAGGTGGACCAAAGACAGCGCTCCAGGCCGGGCTGGCGTGGACGGGGAGCCCAGAGGCAATGGGCCTGCCTGCTACTGTTGGGCAGTATCACACGCAGCCCGTGGGACCCTCTCTGGCACACCTGGTACCTACATGTCTACGGGGAGGCCGCAGTCCACGGTGAGGGAGAAGGATCCTTCGGACACGGCCAAGACCAGCGTGTGCCACCGGCTGTCCATCAGTGCCAGATCC